TCAATGGTAATTTCTTTATATAAATTACTAGCTCCCCTAATTATTTTAGAGCAAAAGTCTAAATAAGTTTTTTTTAGAGAACAAAATACTGCATCTGTTAATACTATCACTTATAATGTTCGTCGTATGACGGGGTAAAAAAATTATTGGGTAAATCGGTTATGAAGAATCGCTGGAAAATATTTTCAAAAATTTTCTAAAAATGACCAACAGAGGGTGTAACTGCCATCTTAAATTGTAAAATTGCATTTTCTTTAAATTTCACATAATAAACTTAAAAAAAATTTTCACATTTTTAAAGAGAACCAGTTTATCTATCATTTTCGTAAAAACAAAAACTCCGTTATTTCAAAAACAAAGATGGTGTGGAGCGTTCAATTGTTTTTGCAATAACCTGCTTGAACTTCTTAACCGTTTGACCGATTGTAACAAATTTGGTATCGTTGAAAAGAGCATTTCTTGGGCAACAAGAATCAAATATAGTTAATTTAGTTGAATCCTTCTCCGCCATGACCCAATATCCTAAAAAAATCAAAAGGAATGATATGACTTTTTCTTTACGAAAAAGTAGCCAAATAACATCCAAAGAGACCAGTGAAAACCGTTTTTCAAAATCTCGGTCCTAACCTCAAATATTAGAAAAATGCGATTAACTAATTAATTAATAAAAATGCTTAAATTGTATCTTAATTTACTTTTTACGTATTTCCGATGTTTGTCGATGGCGCGAAAGAAAAGCACCCTACACTTTTAAGTAGGCCGTGGAAAATTAAACAAATGAAACACGATGCATTATAAAATAATAACAGCTGCCATTTGTAAATTATTCTGCTGTGTTTACATTCAGAAGGTGCATTTTTTTGGATTTGTAATCTTTTCTAAAATGGGGATTTCTAACCAAGAAGCATTTAATATGCTGGCGGCGATATTTCGTGGTCGATTCGGATAATGCAAATAGAAGACGCGGGCAGCGATGGTCGTATTTAAAAAATACTCAAAATATATCGCCAGCATATTAAATGCGTTTGCGCAATCATAACAATTTAGTTTAAATTCTGAAACAGAAAGGTCACCGTGCGATTTCCAAGTTTTGGGACCCATGAAGAAGCACTTGAAAGGCCGCCATTTCATGTCGGACGTACTACGCAGACGTGCCGGACCAGGTCTGCGATCCTGTGGATCGCCTCACGCTCGAGGGAATTGTGGAAGCAAAGCAAGGCAATGGAATTCAGCCACATTTAAATCAAACGGTTCTGAAAGTTTCATCAAAAGAGTTCATATATGCCAGCAGAACCGTCGAGCGGTCGAGCCACTTATCCGATAAGCTATATTCCATTCCATATACAGGGTGGTGCCTAGCGCAACGCAGCATAGGGATTTCAATGGTAATTTCTTTATAGTCAATTACTAGCTCCCCTAATTATTTTAGAGCAAAAGTCTAAATAAGTTTTTTTTAGAGAAAAGAATACTGCATCTGTTCATACTTTTAGTTATAATTTTCCATTTTTCAAAACCGTATAAATCGATAAAATAAAAAATTACATTTTTATAAATCAGTGATGCTTTGAAATCTTTATAACAAACTACAAGCGCATCGCATCTAAGTTATCGTTGTTTGACGTCGAACGATTTTCATATTTAATTCTGTTACAACTATCCGATGCAAGAAAAACCGGCAATTGGGTAATGTTTTTTTAGAGAATGTATGCTGCATCTGCATCAGATACTGTTTGTTTATCATTTTCCGGAATCAGAGTACCTACATAATCGAAGAAAAAAAACTGATTTGAAGAAGATTTGTTCCTAAACTTATATTCGGATTTTCCGCTACTGCATCCAAAACGTTGAATGTATTGTCGTTTTCCTGATGGTTTTGACGGACATTTTGAACGTTATTGCACTTGCAGTGCTTTAACTAATTTATAAACAAGTATAAATTTAATATACGTCAAAGGCAAATAATGAAACGTGATCGCTGTTTTTTTTAGGTAATTCCAAGGCATATTTGATTTATTGTAAAATGAACCTTTTTATTTTGTCGATTTCTACGGTTTTGAAAAACGGAAAATTATGAGTAATAGCATGAACAGATTCAGTATTTTTTTCTCTAAAAAAAACTTATTTAGACTTTTGCTCTAAAATAATTAGGGGAGCTAGTAATTGACTATAAAGAAATTACCATTGAAATCCCTATGCTGCGTCGCGCTAGGCACCACCCGGTATAGCGTATTGGCATTCTATTACTATTATTCAGAGCAGCTCTGGTCTGATTCGCAGTATACTATGTCTTCACGTTATGCGCAATTTGATAATACATTATATACTGCGATTCAGAGCACCGATGTGGTATAGTGCTCGGTTTAGTGTTTGTTTTATTACTAAAATCGGCTAACCACTTGTCGCACCAAACACTGTTAATATCTTCACCCGTTTTTTTTAAATTTCGCTTTAAATCCATGTTCTTTTAGTTCCAAATATCCGATCATTGAAAACCTATTCTCGTTGCACATTTCAACCAATACCTCTTTATAGATCATTTTAGTGCAGTGTGAGAACCTTGATTATACACAAACAAACAAAAATATACTTTTCTTGCAAAAGTAACAATAAAAACACACTTCTTGTAAGTGTGTGACGGGCTTTATAGATTCAGAACTCTAAAGTTTAAACCATATCGGTGCTCTGAATCGCAGTACATAATGTATTATCAAATTGCGCATAACGTGAAGTCATAGTATACTGCGAATCAGACCAGAGCTGGTCTGAATAATAGTACAGAATGCCAATACGCCACCCGGTATAATCCTATCGTGATAGTTTATGATTCAATTAAAATTAAAACTATTGTTATTAATACTTTGGCTTTGCCTATTAATCAATGAGGTGTATCTATTTTTTTTTCGTTCCCGTACCCCGTTCCCTTGTAATTTTGGGAAGTGTTTTCGGAGTACACCTTTACGCCTTCAAAGAAGCATACGTTCTAAATGGCAAGTCCCTATCTGCCGCAATAGGAAGGTTCGACATGTTTTTATTTTAACTGAAATCGAGAGATTTTGTTATTAAAAAACGATAAAAAAAATTGGGTGTAAAATATTCTTATTTACGTCCGCTGTAAGCACTTTAAAGTTAAGGGCCGACGCGAAGCAAGAAAATGTACCTGCGCGCGAGACTAGACCGCGTGACGTCAGTAGCCAGAAACATTTGCCGCGCGGCGTTGGCAGAGTATATACGAATTCACGTACGTAAACTGGGACCGATTTATTTATTGTCTGCACAATGCTGCAAGGTTATCAAAAACACTAATTCGTGTAATTTACCCCATGTTAATGTGGAAATGGAGTTTTTGCAGATGCATATGACGTCTACATTAACGCCGCTGCTCTGGCGTTCATTTAAATTTGCGTTATTAAGTAAACACTCCATTTCCACTTTCACATGAGGTGAATTTCGCGAATCAGCTTTTTGATAATCTTCAGCATTGTGTACGTAATAAATAAATTCGTCCCAGTTTACGTGAATTCGTATATACTCTGCCAACGCCAACGCGCACAGGTACGTTTTCCTCCTTCTCGCCAACCCTTGATTCTAAAGTGCTTACAGCGGACGTAAATATCAATATTTTGCGCTCATATTTTTTTTTGGTGGTTTTTTATAACAAAATCTCTCAATTTTAGTTAAAATAAATCAAATATCAAAAATGTCGAACCTCCCTATTGCGACTGTAAAACGTAAAATCCCGCTTTTCGCCGTTCCCGTTCGAATTTCGGGAAGTGATTTATTAAATCAGAATCCTTCGCGGGCATACGTCCAACAATTCCTCAAAGTTTTATTTTAATCGGATGAACGGTTTAGGAAGGTATAAGGCACATACATACAGACAAACATTCCTTCGACTTATATAGCCTGCAAGCTATATAGAACTAGCAGGTGCTCCTACATCAACGACGAGCATTAGTCTGGCGAAATGTAGAAATGCTACATAATACGAGTATATAAAATTTTAAAAAAATCTGCATCGACCGGGATTCGAACCCGGGCCACCCATAAGAGCCTGTACTGTAAAGCCAATGTGAGACGGACAATAAACCTAATGCTCTCGTTACACGTTTCCCCTGAGAAATTGGTGAATGTATATAAAAAAAAAAATTTTATCATCCGGAAGTACTTTCAAAAATCTGGAAATCCATAGCTGTCAAACGAACTTATTACAACTTTCTGGGGATAAGATTTCGTCCCTCACATAAACGTACTGACAAACGAGCGGATAAGTCACTAGTTATAGAGAATTTTCATTTTTGATGAACGTGCTAAATGGTACAATTTGTCTATCATATCAAAGATCAGTGTAGTATGATCTTTGCTCAATAAAGGTACGCGAGTGTGAAGCGAGGTAAGAAGTTACAACTAAATACAAGAATCGCAATGCTATGTAACTGTTTCCTGTACTATTTCCCTTTTGAATTGCCTGCATTGTAACGGGGGGTGATAGAGGAAGCCGGAGGAGGAAAGGAGGAAAATGCGCTATAGACATTCCACATTCGCACGGATAAGTTCATTATGATTAGTAGTCGTAGTTGCAAGAAGGCAGGCCGCAATTGCTTGGTAATACACTTTGAAACGCGTTTTGTAATTTTGTTTCAGTAATGTAAATGACGTTAAACACGATGAAGCAAGGAGAATAATTGTTAAATTTAGCCCCACTTCAATGAAAATTAACTTGTTCGGGTGATTTTGTTTTGGTTAATTTTTGGGGATATGTTTTTTACCACACACAATTTTAATTAGAATACGATGGTAAGATATCACTCATTGCCAAGTTGAATACTAGTTTGGTACCCAAAAATAATAGAAAAAGTCGGTAATTACAGAGCTGAACTTATTATTGGAAAATAATGACATAAATTGACATCATTGGTGCTTTGCGTTTCTCTTTGTAATGAAAACTATATATGTACTAATTTTATTAGACAATTAACTCAGATCTCTTCTGGCACTTACAGCTTTTCAAGCGGTTCATACAAGCCTCGGGATCCCTACGACACAGGTTACAGAGGAACAAGTTATCTCTACGGTCGACCGTCATCAACGACCACAACCGAATCACCCGGAGGAGGAGGTGGACCGACCGATAATCCAGATTCCCAAAGTAACACGTCTTCGGGTTGAACACGGGTAAATGACGACCACAAATTCATAATTAAAGCTTTAACTACTTGATTACTTCATAAAAGATTCTTGACGCTCCCTTTAAGTTACATTAATTTCATCAGCTTCATTCTAACAATACTGTAAACGAGACAAGATGCATAGAATGCAGCTTGTATCATTTAGGTAGGTACAAGAAATTCCGTTTTAGTACAGATATATTTATTCTTTGTATTAACTGTGTAGTATAAGTTAATGAAAATAAAAACTTCTTAGAATGGCTTCATTTTCTTTACAAAAAATGTTTGTAGCCCAATAAAGCGACTAATTTAGAATTTCATAATGCGGAAAATCGTTAAAAACTTTTCCACACTTTTAGCAGCGCCGCTTCAAACAAATGACTCGGGAATAGTGCCTCTGCTTCTAGGGTATGAATTACAAATTACACATCCGTCCAAGATATTTTGATAAATCTCCCTAAATAAAGTTGTTTTCAAGTATGTGAAATACTTATTTCCATTCAATGCAAGGAAATGAGAAATGAAGTGAAAATTAATTTATATGGCTTTTCCTTTATATAAACGGCCTAAATTACAAATCGATTCCGCAATAACGTTTTAAGCGTTCACCATTCAGACGAATGCGTATTGTTTACAAGTAAGAAATGAAAATTCTTTCGGTTCCAGGATAACAACAAAAGCGTGTTGGGAATTTGGAACACTTGAAAACAAAGCCAGTTTACATTATAACCCTAATTTCGGAGATAAGTTATGAAGTTTATTTTCATTCTCTTTATTATTTTTGTTCTCTCGCAGCCTCATTTGCGTTATAAGGCGAAATAGTACGAAATTTGAATTTTTCAACTTAGTTTTTCCAATATTTTATAATTTTATTTGTTTATGGATTTGTCTCCGCTTGTTGATCAATACATTCGTAAAATAAATATGGTTGGAATTCATTAGTAAATAGCTATATTTATAAACAGAGAGCTGACTACAGCAGAATGGCGGATGATGGAATTGTCGGAATAGGTAGGTAACGATATCTTCTAAGTAGACTAATCCCGCCATTAATTTCATAATTAATGTCATTAATTTTTGGAAGGTCGCTGGAGAATTTTTACCCCGAAGGCAATCACCCTGGTAGGAGGCGCCGTCGTCCGGAAATTGAAAATCTTGACTCTTCTTCCAAACGCACTTGCCTGTACTTAGTTGTATTTTAGGGTGATCACTGAGAATACCCTTGCGGTCTCAAACAATCTTTGGTTATGGCGTTAAGGCGTCGGTAATCTACGCAAAATCTAGGTTTTATTTTTCCTTTATTATATTTTAGGCTTGCTGACTATCTTTGTTATCCCGACGATAGGTGAACTGTATTCTGACGGATGGATTTGGAATGGGGGTCCTGGCGTAACCGAATCTTATGTGTGACAGTGTCGGTCCTAGATGGCGTCGCTTGCTCGTAGACCATGTAGACCATACAGTGGCTTTATAGAAACACTGGCAACAATAGAGTGTCTAATTTTTGATTGGTGGTTGAGATCGGCAGCCATTTTGCGTCAAATTTCACAGCTTACTTACTATTTAAGCTGTGTTTCCGCTAATAGATATGCTCACGCGCATTCCCGCGCTTCTAAAAACGTCACTGATTGACAAATTTGATGTACTGGTGCCATGATAATCCTATAAAAAATAGTATCATGACAGATGACAGCCTGACATTAGCGACTTCTGCAGTCAAATGGCAGCGTCTGGGGATGAAAAATTTGTGTTTCGATAGCCGTGAATTCAGTACCTAATTGTATTTCCGCGTGCAATTTGTATTGGAGGACAAAGGCATCGAAAAGTAGCTGGAAACGAATGTGGGGGAACCTAGAAAATCCTAAGGAATTGGTGTGAAACGCGATGCCATGTTCGACGAATCGCAGCGCAATGGCTCATCCAACATTTTATATGAGTTGGGTCCTGCGAAGAGATGGTGTTGACGAGGCGGAAATTGGTGGGAAAACGTTTAATTGAATGGACGGTTTTCAGAAGCGGTGGATGTCGGTCAATTTGATAATCGGTCTATTGGAATCAGGACCATCGATTTAGGGAGAGCGGTGGAAGATGGGAGATTTCATGTGGAACCCGGACTGTGAACGATAAACCACCATCTGCCAATGAGTTATCACTTTCGAAACGGAAGCATCAACCACCGAGCAATTTCGGAAGCAACAGTGCCGTGATTAATTGAAAATTGGTGCTCTCAAATAAGCGGAATGGACGAATGGTACAGGAGAATTAACAACATGGCCGCAAATTTTCTAAATAGGAGGCTTGAGGGGGACATTTTTATGGAACAGCCGGGATAGTCTCGTTAAAGGATAATTTGTGTCATGTGTGCAACGTGAATAAGTGACTGTAAAGACTTAACCAAGCGCCTCTAACTTGTTTGAGGCAGAATAAAGATGATTGTTGTGTTGTTTTATATACTGCTAATTGTGAAATTCACAGTAACGCCACCGTCTGTAAGTTAAGTTGGCTACTCCTTAGTATTGTATTGTAGTATACGCAACACATGTCATACGTGTATTGCGGGTTGCCTATTTTCCAATTTGAATTTTTGACGCAAAATGGCGGGTAAGCTCCTATTGTCGCCACTGTCTCTATAAAGTCACTGTAGTAGACCAGGTCAGGCGACATTTCGTGGTAAACGTCATTGGCGGGCTGAAGTTTTGGAACCAGTGTTTGGTTTGGCGTTGTCTCGTTCTCCAATGCACGCAGCCCCTTTCATAATCCAGGGTCACACTGTGTAGCTACGGAGCCACAGTTGTCCCAGTATGATTAGGGATACGACTGCTGATGCTACCATGAAAACGTTTCTACAGTCTGTTTGCCGAGAACGTCTCTGATAGTGGAAGGTCCAATGATGTTCAGGCGGTGATGCGGATCTGCCACTTCGATGGTGGTATTGATGCAATGTTGGATGATGCCGGCGAAGTCCTCTCGAATGAAATTGTATGTGGACCCCGTGTGCTGGAGGGGTTGTGATGTGGTTAATGCGCTGGCGCTGGTGGCGTTGGCTGCGTGGTCGTGGGAGCGCTATTCTTTTTCTTAAGCCGCTTTCCACTCTTCTTGACGGTGTGCCATTCGAAGACCTAGTCTTCGGAAGTGGAGGGTGTGGCCGATCTCTCGACCACACGAGAGATGACAGTGGGAGCATGCTCGGGTGTTACTTCCTGGTGGCAAAATGGCTCGTGGTGGAGTAGGTATGTGTTGTTTGGTCGCCGCGGAAAGGTAGACTGGAAAACCACGGTAGTTGGCGGTATGGGCTCCAGAGCAGTTCGCCGCTAGGTGGTTTTTAGCACAACGAACGCATTGGGGTGCAAATCCGCAGTTGACGCTAAAGTGGACGAATTCTTAGCATGCGAAACACTGCGCCATTTGGCGGCTGGTGCGGAAAGCTTCTACCTTCAAACGACAGCAGCAGTAGAGCATGTCCGTGATGTATATCTTGGAAGCACTCTGCATGTTCTTCGGAGTGACGAGGAAGGTGTTGTTACTGTGACTCTATCCCTTACCCCGGATTTTGATGGAATAGGTGGGACTGAATCCGCGATATTTGAATAGCAATATGCCGCTTGAATGCTTGTTGCGGTTTCGTTGCCAGTGTCCGTATCAGACGTGTCGGCGGAATTCGTCTTCCGTCGTCGTCTGCTAGCCTTGCAGCGGTAGCGGTGCTGATCGGTTGGGTACCGCTGGTGACGGAACACAGGAGAAAGGAAAAATACCATTTTTCAAGAGCAATAAGACGCCATTAAAACTTTAATCGGCCTTCCGATTCACTTTCGGACAACGTTCCCAAACTTCACAGCATGGCTTGTAATTATAGACGGTTGTGATGCTAATAACCGGCCAATGTGAAGGAAAATGTTTATACTATGGGAGGCTATAATTATGTATATACAGGAAATTTTTGTTAAATGTATACATATGGGCTATGTATACTTGAAAAAAAAACGGGTCAAACGCATGGAATCATGAGACTATAGTAGCATTGAATTATAACTAGGTATACATATAATTCAATGATACAATGATTCGGGCTTGTAGAGCTTTGTATAACTTGTTCTTCAACGGGCTTGTGAGGTGCATTAGGGGTACAAAATTTCAAAAATTCATACAATTCGTTCTAGTTTCCTCGAATGAATGTACGGAAAGCACGCGCCGCGATTCTGCCCATTTCACCATAAATAACAATTAAAATTCCAAAATAGGTGAAACCACTGCGAGTCATTTTTCGATTTTTGAAAAACTTAATTGTAACCTGATAACATGTGGTGATGGATTAGTGTCACTAGATTTGTTAAAATTCAATTGTTATAGAATCATGGCCGACTTACTAAAAAGAAAATCCTAAAAAAAGTAGTTCAATTCAATAAAATGGAAATAAGTCAGAAACTGTTAAAGATAGCTATAAGGAACATGTATTGCTCAAATATATGCCCATTTCGATTCTCTATCTCATGAATAGTAAGAACATGGTCATTCCATTAAAAAAAACTGAGTTTTTAGTCTTTTGAAGTTTCATAAATTTGGATATCCATAGGGGCGGTCGTACGCACACTTACTTTTTTTTTAAGTGCCACTAAAAGAAAAGCCCTATTCATTCTCTATGCACTGAGTAAAAATAGGTTGCCATGACTACAAACCGTTTGCAAGTAACAATTATCAAGGTACCATCTGCCATCCGCCATTTTTTTTCTTAAAGTCAAAATAACTTTAAAAACCATAAGATGGTAGATATCGACATATGGGTATCAAAAGAAGTGAAATTTCACGTAGAATCCAAAAAGCAATAAAAAATAGGGGTTTTGCCATTTAAAATAACGAAGTTACTATCTACTTCCGGTGTTTCCGGAAGTGCGGCCATTTTGAAAATATTTTACATCGATTCGGCCTTCAGAGTAACTCCTAAGTACAAATTTTCAAAAACCTACCTATTTTACTTTCCAGAAAACTTTTACTAAAGCTCCCAAAAAAACACCCTGCTACTAA